TTCCCCAAATTTTCAGAGATTTGAGCAGTAGAAAAAAAGTTACAGCGCTCCTAGCCGCGCGCCTCCTCCCCGCCCAAACCCAAACTTGAAACTTTAGACGCGAATATCTCGAAATGGTGTTTTTTGAAAAATGACTTTGCGGTGATATGGATTGGCGAAAAACTAATAAACTAATTTCTTAATCGTAATGAATTTTATTAGTACTTGAACGAAACGTTTTTTCATGTAAAAATTTTTATTTCGCCGAAATAGATAGTTTTATAAGAATTTTAGCGTCCAAAAACGTCATTTTTTGCATAAAACGTTCCCGTATGCACAAAAAAAACAAATTTTAAAAACGTTCCTTCAAGTACAGGATACTACTTTAAACTAATAAAATATTTTTATTTTTTCGGTTTCAGTTGACCCGTTCGTCAGGGGGAATTATCACCCCAATGCTCTTAAAAAAAAGGAGTTCAAAAGTTCAAAAACAGCCACACCTTAAAAAATATTAAATATTTTTTCAAAATTTTTTGCATAAACATTGTCAACAATCTAAACTTTCAGAAAATATAATCATTCATTTAATAAAAACAATAGTTACATACATAAAAAAATCCAAACTTTCCTATTTTTTTCGACAAAAAAAGGTATATACCCCCTTAATATACTTGGTCACATCTTCATTCATTGAGCGCTTGATGTTCACAATTTTTGGTCATGTCTCGAATCGCTTCTTTGCTGCCGAGCTTATCAGCATGTTCATATAACAAATATTAGCAATTTTTGCTTTTATTACGTCTGAAATTTCTCGTACAATCGTGTCTTGTCACGGTCGCCAGGTAATGGTTTTAGTAAAGTTTATTATCCTTTTGTTAGATATTAACATAGCAGTTTAAATAAAATCGAATAATTTTCTCTCGAGCACATCGTGCCCATTTGGTGGTCACTTATTAATTTATTCGTTAGATCTCGAATAAAAATGGCAATTATGTATATCAGTCGGTACTTATGTATATCAATGTATATAAATTGCGGCGATAAATTTGACGCCTAAGAGAGAGAGAGTATTATGCCCACATAGTAACGGAGCGGTCGCGCATGCTTGACATGCCGACTCAGCACTTAGGCTGCCCACTGCATTCTTGTGTTGTCATATTACTTCGCACTCTAAGTGCTGGGAACATTTTGTTTAAAACAAATGCTACATTGTATTTGAGATATGGCATTCTGCGTGAGCATATTACACAAGATCATAAGCTTAAGTTTATATCAGGAGCGCTTCAGAATAAGTTTCAGATCTAAATGTATTATTTATCATTACATTAATGTTAGCAAATATCTGCCAGCATAAACATAGTACCCGACTCAAATCAAGTGGGACGGGCAAGGACAGGTGAGTTAGGATGTTAGTTACAATTAATTTAAGAGAGCATTCAGAAAATATCAAAAATACAGTTCGTTATATTGCGAACATAAAACGCGAAATGGATCATGTACCTCAAAATACGTCTTACAAATATCGAGGGCAATAGGTCAAAAGTGACAAGTAGACTTTACAGGGATGGAAAACCTTATTTGACCCAATAGGTAGCTTGACACCATGGCAGGTCCGACGATCCTTGAGGGAGGGCACGTTCAGTAGACGCAGTCTATACATGTAATATGGTAGGTGACGATGTGTTTCCCAGTTTAAACCACGTAAAGCAAACAAAAGGAACTGTTTCTGTACCGATTCGATCCGATTACGGAATTTATGCGTTCAAGATCATTCGACCCAATAGACTTTGTAGTGAGGAGAAGCCTCTCCCGATAAAAGGACATAAAGTTACATTTAGAGTTGTTTAAAAACAGCAAATTCTGGATGCACCAAGAATGCAGTTTGTTCAGATCGGCTTGCAAAAGTTCATGGGAATTGGGATTCAATAACGGCAAACAAAGTTTTACGTCGTCAGCATACATCATAACATGAGAAGAGAAAAATACTTGAAAAATGAAAATTCCAAACAGTAGGGGTCCTAGGTGGCCACCTTGCGGAACACCAGAGGTCACGTGAACAAGGTTAGAGATTGTGCTTTTAAAAGCTACTCTCTGAGTCGGTTCGACAGGTATGTTGAAATCCACTTAGTCAACGTGATCGGGAATCCTAATAGTATTAGTTTTTTTCAATAATAACTGATGGTTCACGGAATCGAAAGCTTTACTGAAGTCCGGAAAAAAATAACATCAGTTTGATTTTTAAAAGTGCTTCTCATGACTGAAGGAAATTCAAGAAGAAGTCGTTGACCTTCGTTTCATAAAGCCATGCTGAGTTGGAAATCGCGTTTTGCAATACCGCTGTAGTTTTAAATGTCCGATTTGCTTCCCTTTTTATGTAGTGGAATGTTATAAAAGATTCCTTCCAAACTTCAGGGAAATGCGAATGTAGGAGGAATATCTGAAAAAGTTTAGATAATGGTTTGCACAAAGCATCGGCACATTTTTTTATAACACAGCTCGGAGCAAGATCAGGGACCGATGAGAAAGACATCTTGATCGTTTGCAGATTTTGTAAGACATCAACCTCACTAATTAGGAGCGTGAAAATACAGTTGGAGTAAGGAAGAGGGTATGGGTAGGATGAAGTGTTATCGTAACTGAAAGACGGGTACGTGGACTGGAATAATTTTGCAAATAAGTTCGCAATATCGGAATCACTAGAGGCGGATGTAGTATCAAGGTGAAGGCAAAATGGAAATTGCTGCGATTTTTGTTTTAAATTAACAAATGGTTAGTACTGCTTGGGGTTGACATGGAATTCGATTCTGCAACGGTTTAGGTAACTATTCTAACAATTGGAAATGTGGACTAAGAAATTTCAACGAGCAATTAAATACCTCGAATGGTCAACTTGTAGTCCGGTTCTCTTAAATTTCTTTAAAAGTCTGGACATGGAGTTTTTCAGGAAAGAGAGCCAACGAGAGAACCAAGGGGGCTTATGAGACACGTTTGCAGAGGGAAATGAGGGAAGGAACGTATCAACAGCTGAATAGAGTATACCGTAAAACTATTCTACAATATGTAAGGGATCATCGTTTGAATCCATAAAAGACAAATCGAGTTACTATAAATGCCTATTCATTTCTGGATCGATTACGGGAAGCGTCTTCAGGATTGGAGAGAGGGCTAATTCAAGTTACGAATGCATTGGCGAACTCCGAGGCAAAAAAAGGAGTGGAGCAGTTTAAGATTGAGTTCAGTTGTCCTAAAGAAAGATCAATAAGACCATGGGCCTTGGTGGGAACGAGAGCACTTGAATCAGTTGATGGCATGCAAGAAATGGCAGGGAGGTGAAAGTCGCCCATAACAATAAGATGATCGTTATTGCCAAGGGTTGAATGAATACTCTGTATATGAGCCAAATGCTGAAGGTAGAGGCTAATATCAGACCGAAGGGGAATATACGAGCATGATATAAAAATGAAATAATCGTGATGCTTAATCCGAACTGCAACAAACTCTTATGTGCTGTCCGTACCAATTATCAGAATTCGTTGAGAGACAAAATCGGGCTTGACGGCAATAAAAACACCACCGTCAAGACGTACTGAGCGGTCTCATCTATATATAAAATAATTTACAGCAAATATTTTGCAGTCAGACAGAGGAATTAAGCCAAGTTTCGGTAAAAGCAATCACAATGGCATCAAAGGTGACACTGTTGACTTGCAGTTTACTAAGTTTGCCCAATAAGCTGCGATATTCTGGTAGCGTAGGGCAAAAGAATTATTAAGTTTTTTGGAACGTTGGTTGAAGGAATCTGAGGCCAGTGGACCCGAGGAATAAGCATGTTTACGTACTCGTGAACAATAACATGTTCATGCCATATAGAAACATCGGGAGTCTTATCAAGATTTTCCTCAGGAAGTCTAATTTTAAACGAAAGGCAGTTTTTGACGTCATCTTCAGAAGCACCAGGATTGAGGCGGAAGACAAAAATTAGCTTTTATTGTGCAACGTCCAATAAGGGCTTAGGTTCCCTTTGAGCGACCCCAGATAAGGTTGACTGCGATGGTCCCGTGTTCGTATTAGAAGAGAGGTGTGGGCCCAGAGGAACCGTCTGCCGTGCAGCCGTCAGCAACATCAGCAAAGGCCTGGTAGCCTAACGGCCTTTAAAGTTGTATTCAGCCTCTTCAAACCGAGTAAATAAGTCCTTAAATTCGGCCAATAAGGACTGGTACTCCAGATCGGTTTGCCTTAATATTTACTTTAATATGATGACAACTGGGACAGATCCAATCCAGGTTAGAATTTGATTTAGTCCGGTCTGCAATTAGGCCAGCACTGTGCCCAAGGTCGGCACATTTAGGGTGAGCAATGTTGTCACACAGCCAGCAACCAATTGTGGGTTGTCCAGAGGTGATTTTAAAAGGCAAGGCTTGCAACAGGCAGACATAGTAAATTGTTATGTTGTAGATGTAGAAAGCTCAGCTTGCAGTTGGGTCGGTGATAAGCTTTACGCGCGTGTGTATCTGGGCAACTTATTGTTATTATCAAATCAATTAACTTGTTACGCAAACGATGTGTTCTTGAGGATAATTTAAAGTTCTGTTTCAGATCAAAGATCCAACCAAATATTGGATCCTGGTAAAAATAGTTTTATTAACTTGATGTGGGCTGGTAATGATGCAATTAACGTAAACTGAAAGCAGCCTGCTCAAGCTGATGCAGAGTCCTCATAAATTGCCCTAGCACTATAAAGACACCTCGAACTCTAAGGGCCATCATATACAAAATAATTTATATTTAAACTCATTTAATACCTTTTAAGAGAAAACGGACCGAATCTGTTGATGATCCTGCTAAAAATGATGGTCGGAAATGTTTTTTTCACTGCTTTGCTGTCTTCTGACAGAATTTGCAATATATAAATCTTTTGTACGAAGATTTGGCGCAATTTAGTTGAATGCATATTCGACAACAAATTATTTTATTTCAGTTTTTGTATTTTTCATAAGCTTTTGGATCGTGAATATACTTACTTTCTAACATGGCCTGTGATGATAGTCTAGGTAAAACCAAGTATTGATTGTTAGAAACCACATCTATCAATGTTTGAATTGGGATGTCCGGCATACGAATACTTGCTACGTAGTTCGTTGAGTCTTCATTGAATATAAGTACTGTGTCCAAGCTCGTATTAATTTTCAAGCGAGCAATTATATTATTTGATTGCAAACTGTTCATATTAACAAATCTAAAAATAAATTTTAAATTAATTTAGTTTTAATATTTCAATTGTATTAATACAATATAAATATTTTTGTACCTATTTGTAAAAAAAATAAAAGTTATCTTCATGCCACAAAAAGGGTGCATGCAACTATCGCTTCTGAGCTTCAATAAGACTACGTGACTAGTAAAATAAAGAGTCAAATAGTTAAAAAACAAGAAAGAAAAGCTTACTTCGGGTGGAGCCGAAGTTGATATTGCATTATATTATGTAAATTATATTCTCCAACGCTATTCATATGATGCATTTTTAATACTCATAAAAGATCTCAACTTCCTAACTTTAAAAACACCAAAGATATGGCATTTCCAATGGTTCAGTTATATGGCAGCTATAGGATATAGTCGGCCGATCCTTATGAAATGGTAGGTCGGATTGATTGGCCAAAAATAAAACCCATTGAAAATCCCAACTAACTTTACAAACACGAAAGTTATGGCATTTCCGATCACTCAGTTATATGGCAGCTATAGGATATAGTGGGCCGATCCCGGCCGTTCCGACTTATATACTGCGTGCAAGGGAATGAAGGGTGTGTGCAAAGTTTCAATTCGATAGCTTTAAAACTGAGAGACTAGTTTGCGTAGAAACAGACAGACGGACAGACGGACAGACAGACGGACAGACAGACGGACATGGCTATATCAACTCAGGAGGTGATCCTGATCAAGAATATATATACTTTATAGGGTCGGAGATGTCTCCTTCACTGCGTTGCACACTTTTGACCAAAATTATAATACCCTCTGCAAGGGTATAAAAACAAAGCTTTAAAAATTATTACACCTACATAATTTTACACGTCTGCACCGTCGGACGTGGAGGTTAATACTAGTTGTTATTAAGTAAGTGTCTGTAAATGTGAGCGCAATTTTCAACGTCTGTTTTGTAGTTCAGTCTTATGCCTGTGGGTGTGTTTGTTATATGTAACATTTCTATGTTTAAGCGTTTTTTGTAAGGTTGTTCTTGTTCCAAAATAGTCGTTGCTTCAAAATTTGGCGAGTGACCACTGGTTTTACAGTGGACTATAGGTGCTATTTTTTGTATGTTAGCTTGGTGTCTTAATTTGAAGTCTGATCTGTGTTGTGATATTCGAGTTTTTAGTTTGGATTTGGTTGTTCCTACATATATGTCATATTGGCACATTTTTCAATTGTATCGCCATTGCATGGTATTTTATATACAACATTGTTTTTGTCAAACATTTGTATTTTGGACTTTGTCTTGTTGAATATTGGTCGTAGGGTATTGTTGGGCTTGTGTGCTTTTGTTATTTTTTTGATTATTGTAAAATTCTGACTTTTAAGGCGTTCTGATAGTCTTGGTATTTATGTTACGGACATGTATTGTGAAGGTTTTCTACATTTTGTTTTTTGTTCCATATTTTGGTGCCTTTAAATTAATGTTCTAATTAGATGGTTTGGGAAGTCGTTGTCCTTTAAAATTTGTCTTATTTCATTTTTGGTTTCTTCATGAAAAATGTTGTCCGAAATGGATAGCATCCGTTGTATACAACCTACTGCTGTACTGATAATCATTGTTTTAAGGTGTTTTGAGTTAAAGTTGATGATTCGTCCGGATGCTGTTGGTTTTTTATACCACTTTAGTTTTAGAATTTTATATTTTTATTCCACAAAAAAGTACTAAACATTATAATAAAACAACAAACATGACTTAATGAAGCAACTAAGCAAAAGCGTAAAGGAAACCAAAGAAATTCTGGAGAGGCAGTTAAACTCAGCTGACTTACAAACGTTTAATAAGAGCGATAGATATGTCGCGAATAAACAACAACAACATTGAAAGAGAGAAATGAGAGGAAGTATAGAAAACTACAAAAGGAACGGAATAATATATTCACGAACAATAACAAAACGAACGATTTGTTTGTCAACAAAACGAATGTGTAGTTCCCGCCAGACGTAAAAGCACTCTTGCAAAGGGTCCAAAGTTTGCGATACCAATAGAGAAGAAGAATTTCCCTCTCCTTAAGTATATAGGGGCCGTCGAGGAATTGGTGCAAACTCTTACAGGTAAAGAGCAACAAGAAGAGTCACTTATTAAAGATCATATGACGTCGGTTCGGGAAAGTGCAATAGATCGCGCAATACTAGACACAGTGGGGCAGACACGAAAATCTTTAAGGGAAAATGACGAAATACTAATTTTAACTTCTGACAAAGGAAACAAGACAATTGCTATGGACAAAAATACTTACAATCAAAAACTGAATAACATTTTGGAGGACAGGAACACATATCGGATTTTACGAAAGGATATAACATCGAAACTTTAAACAAAAAACAATGAATTAGCGGAAAATCACAAAAGTCACGACAACGGCTTACCACCACGTATATACGGACTACCAAAAATCTACAAGGAAGGGACTCCATTAAGACCCATTTGCTCATCTATTGTATCACCATCACACGGACTATGTAAATATATTTCAAACATATTAAAAAACATCACCATAGACTCTAGCTACAACATCAAAAACTCAGTAGAATTTAAAGAAGAATCAACAACACGTACATCTGTGATTATGAAAAATTAATATCATTTGATGTAGTCTCACTATTTCCCAGCATACCTATATACCTTGCACTAGACACAATTAGAGAAAAATGTACAAAAATAAAAGAACATACAAATATGCCGAAAAAAATGTTTATGGACATAGTACAATTTTGCATACAAGACATCAACATTTTTCATGAAGAAACCAAAAATGAATATTTGTTGAATAGTGTAAGGCGGGAGCGGGAGCGCAATAAAGCTTTAATCGCTCTCGCGAATTCGCCCCGTTTCTCGCCCGTTCGTTAAGTTAGGCTTAAGCGTTTTTATAATGAAATTAAAGAGTCAGTTGTTAAATGAACCTCATTACGCAAACTCCCTTTCGTCGTCAAAAATAAAATCGAATTTTCCCTGCAATCATAAGTTTCGCGTTCCTTAATACAAAACAGTATTAAATTTTCAAACAAATTTTAAAGGACAACGACTTCCCAAACCATCTAATTAGAACATTAATTAAAAGACACCAAAACATGAAACAAAAAACAAAATGTAGAGAACGTACACAATACATGTTCGTAACATATATACCAAGACTATCAGAACGCCTTAAAAAGTCAGAATTTTACAATAATCAAAATATAACAAAAGCACACAAGCCTAACAATACCCTACGACCAATATTCAACTAGACCAAGTCCAAAATACAAATGACAAAAACATTGTTGTATATAAAATACCATGCAATGGAGATACTAATGAAAAATGTGCCAATATGACATTATTCGTTGCGTCTTCACAGTGAACGCTCGTGTTTTTGTTTTGCGCTCCGATTTTTTATTTTTCTTATTGAAACCACCGGGGTTTACTTAAATATGTTTAACGTTTCTACACCTTTAAGTGTCTTCTAACAACTTTCCGTTCGCTTCGCGAGTGCATCGTGATTTACTTGTGTTTAGTAAATAAAAAGTTTTTATCATAATTTAATTCGGTGCTGGTTGTTTTTGTTTTCTATTGCCCCTCTTTTCAGTCTTTCTCTTCGTCGTTGAGCGCTGTTGGAACGGCACGCACTCCAACGGTAATATCTCTCAGAGGTGTTTTATACCGGAGTTAATCGGCTAATAATCCCGCTCTCTCTCTTTTCATTTCTATCTCGTTTCGTGGTACCTAACATCAAAGTTATTCGGTGATTCACTCCCGCTCTGTCGCCCCCTTGTTCTCTCATTAAAAAGTTCTTGAGCGCTTTCGATTTTTTTTGTCCGCTATAGTGCACAGAAAAAGAAGAAGATACGCAGTACGGACGTGCAAAAAGTGGCTCCTGAATTCTTTTCAAAATACAACACTCCTGGTCCGCCGAAGCCCTGCTGGACGTACCTAAACACTGTCACTTGGAAGGGGCTACATCGGCACCGTGAAATCTCTGGCCAAACACCTCCGGATCTGGCTAAAATCACTTGGTATCGCCCCTCCCAAACCGACCTGGAAGCGCAGCTTTTCACTCAAACGGACCATTTATGTTGGTGGAAACCGACGGTAAAGGAGGAAAACCAAAATAAAAAACCACTCAGAAGACCGGCAATGATAAGGCGCAAACAAAACTAGTGACGGAACACAACAGCTGAGAAGCAGTGAGTCGGATCCAAAGCTCGATCAGAGACTCCCCCGCAAAAAAATCGCACACCAACAAACACAGGCAACCTGGTAGATCTTAAAGATCTGAAATCCATGCTAAGGGTATGTTCGACTCAAAGCTCAAAGAACTATCTACAAAATCGGACGTTAATTCGATTGCCACAAAAATGGATACCATTCAGCAAAATGTAGAATGTTTCTCAACAAAGGTCGTCTCGCTAACAGAGGAAAACAAAATACTGCAGGCAGAGATTAACAAAATCAAAAGCGACAACGAAAACAAACAAGCAAAACTTCTACAACTAGAAGACGCAAATAAACGAAAAAACATAATCAACCATTTAATCCATTTAATGCTGTATCTGACCTAAAAAGAGGGAATTGTTGATAAAGGACCGTATGGAGATTGACTTGGTAAAGAAGCTACACGACGCCGACGGAAAAATGGCTGTTCTGTGCAGTACAGACCATCCTTAAGCGCACCAAAAACCTGAAAGGAACGCGAGGATCTGAACATCGAAAGTAGACTTAAAAAACGCGTGATGCTAGACCTCCGCCGGGACATTCTGGAAAGCCACAAAAACTTTAAGGTCACTGTTAGAAACGATCGCATGGTTATTGAAGGTAAATGGTTCTACTGGAATAAAGACGGCAAGCTCATGTGTGGAGCAGAGATGAAAAACTACATATACTCCCAGTATACATTAACTGCAATAGCTGGCAAGCAGATTTTGAAAAGGTGTACGATTTCGGACTGACAGCAGGTTGCAATAACCTAATGATTATTGGGGATATAAATGCTCGCATCGGAAAAG